GTCTTATTTGGAACCTGGGCTTGAAGTCGCCTAAAGCTGGCCTGAATGTAATTGTACCGGTGCATACAAGATCCTGTTAATTTCTGTCGGGCCCCATGTGCTCCGCACTGGTTTGGGGATTGTCCCTTCTGCACAGTGGAGCGTGAGGACCAGGCGCTTTTTGCCCAGGATGTGACTGGCATTTTGTGCAGAATGAAAATGAAAATGTAATTTTGTAACTGTTCACAGATTGTTAGTTTGAACAACAACAACAATCAAAAAATCACATCACAGATCACAGGCCATGCACTTTCCTTTCCCTCCCTCCCTCCCTCTCTCCTTCCTTCCGTCCCTTCCTTCTTTCCTTCCTTTTTCTTTTTTGGTGTAACTCCTCCTGAGAGGGCGGTGGGCTCTGGTGATGTCCCACTAAGGCAGTCCTTCACTGATGTCCCACCAGAAGGGACCCCCCACTCCGCCCCAACATCAGCAACTGAGCTACAGTGAGGGTTCTGAGCTGTTCCAGATCTCTTTATCCCTGGAACAGTACTTCAGCTAGCAGATAGTCTATTTGAAGAATATTGCATTTATTTATTTTATGTGTTTATGTGTATCTGAGCAGACGTGTGAGGGTATGTATGTGTCACAGAGTGCACAGAGGTCAAGGGACAACATTTGGGAAGTAATACTTTCCTTCCACTGTGTGGTTTCTGGGGATGAAATGCAGGTAGCCAGGCTTGGTGGCAAGCACCTTTACCCACTGAGCCATCTCAACGAGTTTTTGTTTTGTTTTGGAGATAAGATTTTACTAAAGCCCTGTTTAGCCTGGGACTCACTATGTAGACCGGGCTGCCTCCCTAGTGCTGGGATTAAAAAAGTGCACCACCAAGCACAGCCATATATGTTTCTCTTTGATTATGCAAATGCGTGCTCATCGGTGTGCGGATATGGGTACAAGTGCCCGTGGAGGGCAGACGAAGGTGTCGCGTTCCCTGGGACTGGAGTTACAGGTGGTTCTGAGCCACTTAACGCAGGTGCTGGGAACTCGGGTCCTCTAGGGAATCAGTGCATGCTCTTAACCTCAGAGCCATCTCTTCTGCTCAGTAGACAGTATTTCTAACTCCAGTTTACCGCACCCGTGAGCAAAGACTCTCAGAGCAGTGCCAGGCAGAGAGAAAGCCTGGCACACACCAGACACTGCTGCCGTGATTTGGAGACCTGTCTGCCTGTCCCTCCAATGTCCCTCTCTCACGTGGCTGGGTTTCTAGGCTCCTGCAGATGGCCGATGCCTCCCTCACTGCTCTTCTCCCAGCCAGGGTGCTGGATATAGTGCCCAGTTCTGCCAGGAGTGGCTTTCCTGCACTTTTACCCTAGGAGTGGCCTTGTCACCATGTACCTGGGCAGATGGCCTTGCTCTGCAGTAGCTTTTCTTACAGACCCTCAGCCTGACTAGGAGGGACACCTTCCACCTCTCTCCAGTCCAGCCACTGCCTTCTCTGTTCCCCAGAAGATCTTTGATGGCTCCCACAAACTGGGAGACACAGATCAGCTGCCCTGGGAATGTACCCTAATGTATGCTCAAAGGCCAGAATATCAAGCTACAGGAGTTTATTTCTCAGATTCGAGTCAGCACACACTCGTCATGGGGCAGGCTAGTATATTTCAGCATAATCTGGAAGGCGGTCCAGTGGTAGAGCCAGTGGCTGGTAGATGGGGTGGGGCGAGCTTCCAGCATGATTGGAGTCAGACAACGATGGACCTGACATTGAGAGGGACACAGGACTGCCAGGGGTCCCATGATACCTATTTTCATTTTGACACTTTGGAGAAAAACCGGCTCCAGACTGTGTTTTAAGCCTAGAACTCTTGAGACCTCCCGGGACCCTGGCTTTGAGATGAGCCCGCACTAGTCTGGACCTCACAGCCCAGGTGGGGGACGGGGTGCATTCCTTGTAGTGTTATAATTTAGGAGGTGGGAGAGAATCTGGGTTTGGTGAGGAAACTGAGGCAGGGTGGAGCGGGGAGCCTGAGAACAGGAGGCTACTGCAGACCATTCCAAAAAGTTGAGATACAGCCATAGGCAGATGGCAGATGAAAACACCCTTGTCTCTCTGTCGGCCTCAGGTGCCCTAGGGATACTGCAAGGCCACCTATGTGAGGAGTGGGAAGTGGCTTCAAGGAAGTGAGAGGTCCAAGAGAGCGAAGGGGAAGCTACTCAGTCCTCACCCCAAGGTTCAGTCCTTCCCCAGCCTCCTTCTCAATCCCAGGTACCAGCATTGCAGAGAAGGATGGATGTAGAAAGATGGATGCCAGAGTGTAAGCCAGCAGGACAGCTCTGGCGGAAATGCAGGAGGTGTAGTAGTCCCGAGGTCAGAGAAGGGCCAGTTTGGCCTGGGGCAAGCATGGGACCTGGGACAATCTGGGATTGGGCAAGCTGGGATCTATTCCTATGCCTCCCTGTAGCCACATTTGCTATTGGATCTACTCTGCAATCCCCAAATCCTTTTCAGTTAGGGCTGGGCTCCCATAAGCTTGCCTTTTCTTAGGGTCTCAGCTTTTGGCAGTGCCCCGTTGTGCCCATGTTGGTGGTTATACCATCAGGGAATGTTTGCTACATTGACTTATCAACAACCCCTGGGAGGCTGGCTGCACCTGGTGGGCAGAGGCACCCAAAGGTACATTCTGCCTTGTGGGAAACGGCTCTTCTTCACTGCAACTCGGGAGGTTGCTGGGCCTCCCGCCAGATCCCACATGGAGGGCTTCAGTCTGAATTAGGTGTTCTGCCCTCTGAAGCTGGCTGTGCTCCCTCCATTTTCTTCTGGGGCTGCAGAGATTTGTCGTACAGCCTAAGAACTTTGGTTGGGACTAAGGTAACTCATGTATATATTACCCGCCTCTCCGAACTTGCACTTGGCAGCACCTCCCAACTTTGTTAATGGAAACCTACTGATCCATGACACGTGTGTGGCAGACATCTGCTCGGGGTAATGCGCTGGTAATGTACGTATCGATGATCAATCTGCGGATTTGCAAGAGCGGCATAAAGTATTTAATTATAATCACGTTGGGCGAGTCTGCGTGGTGGCAGCGACATTTGAATAGGTCACGGCCAGCCCTCACCCCTGTTATGTTATCGGTATTAAATGCCACTCACTCCTGACGTCGCGGGCTATCACACCCTGGCAAACTGGAAATGTCCCTTTGCTTCTAAGAACATGATTGATAGCCTCTGCAAAGTGACCGCCAAACCTCAAGGTACACCAGCCTCACCTGGCACCGTCCTCACCTCTCCTATCTGTGGCTGCGGACAGCATTTGGCAGTGAACCCGAGTGCAGAGGGACTGAGTCTCCCTAAGCTTCTCAGTCTTGCTCAGGGCAAGGGGTTTTCTGGTTTCAAATTAGACTTTGCTAACTCGAACAAACTGTCAGAAGCAAGCAAGCCAGCATCCAAAAGATGAAATGCACCTTTTATTTATTCAGTTGGTAGCAGAAAAAAAAATGTATCTTCGGACACTGTCTGAACCAACTCTGATGTGTGTACCATCTGTGTCACAAGCCACCGTGAGTTAATGCTTTTAGAAGGCCCAATAGACAGATACACAAAACAAGGATTCAGACAGAAGAAGCATGATCACAGTGCATGTGCACACACACACACACACACACACGCACACGCACAGGCACAGGCACACTCCTGACAGCACAGACAAGCGAGGGCAGAGGAGGAAGCCTGCATGGAGCAGAGCCCACAAGTATGATGGACATGTTGGTGGGAGCAGCCGAGTACTGGAAACCTACAGGTGGTATTGCAAAGGGGCAGGGCACTGCACCTTTGGCGAGGGCTTTGGAGGAGGGCTCTCTCTCTTCTTGTTGGGCTGAGGTGAGGAACAACTTCTAGGCAGAGGCTGATGCTCAACAGGGACTGGAGGTCAGAGAGTAGGAATACTCCCTTTAGGAGAGATGCTGCAGGGCCCAGAACCCCTTCTCTTTTCCCCAGCCAGTAAGGACTCTATGGAGAGGTACGGGAGCAAAGGGGATTACTCCATCAGGCTGGGACAGTAGCTAAACCTAAGAGCCCTCTCCTGTGAATCCATCCTGCCTCTGCCCACCTTTCTTCTGCAGTTCATTTCCAAGCTAAAGTGGGGATTGCCATTCTCAGTAGAGACAGTTTGCTTAGTTGGGGAGTAATTTTATCATTCATGGAAATAGACATGAGATTGCTAACATTTAAATTAAGTCACAGCAAACTGGGAATGCTGGGGGGGGGGAAGCGGGTTGGTGAAAACTGGCAACGGTGGGCGCATAGTTTCGTTGTGCCTAATTGTGTTTCTTCAACTGCCCATCTCAATGGCAATAAAATCCTTTGCATTTCAGATGGAGTACGCTTCCACTCCTGTCTCGAGCACACCACTGTGTAGTTTGGTGGCACTGTCCCCTGCGAGAAAACCTGCATGCAAGGAAGCCGGCAGGAGCTGAGTAGAATCAGGAGAACGTTCCCCTCCTCCTCCACTCCCCTCCTTTCTTCCTCTCTTCCCTGGATAGAAATTACATGCCACTTCAATCTTTAAAATTTCTTTTTATTCTGAAGCAAGATCTCATTAATTCTGCCCAGGTGGGCCTTGAGTCCTCCTGCCTCAGCCTCCTAAGTGTTGAGATGACAGGCCTGTGCCTTCATGACTGGTCTGGGAGGCACCTTTCTGCTGGGGACACAGGCTACTTCTGCTTGTGTCCCCCATGGCTGGACATCACTGGAAGCCTTGGGGTAAATAATAGCCACAGGATAGAGTAACATCTGTCTCCACTGTTCTACACCTCATTATGTTCAGCTGCAGGGAAGGCCTTAACCAGCTTCACGAATAAGTTACTGAGCACACTTTAACTTTGGAATGGGGATGTCTACAAAGCCACTTGTCACAGGACTGAGGACAGATGCTACCTGATTCCAGGGAGCCTCAGGTGATTTTACGGCGTGATGTAGGGGGTCGTTGGTTCAGTGAGTCCACAGCAAACCCCGAAGTGGGGCCAAATCTGAGCCAGGTTTTCCTGTGAGAGAACTGTTCTCATTCTTTATAAAGTCACAACATCACCATAAATACCTTTTATAAGAAGATCTCCAGATCTTTCCTCCAAATGGAGAGCTGAGTTCCCCTGGGGCAGCCTGGGAAGAAGTATGTAGATGTGGACCCGTCCAGGGTTCTTGATTCAAGATGCCTGGTTCAAGTCCTGCCTTTAGGGGAGGGAGCAGGCCCAAGTCCTCAACTGACTGCAAAGCTCCAGGGCCACCTCATGCTGCCCAAAAATGAAAGCTCATTTGCTGGGGCTCCAGCGCCTCCAGATACCTGGCTTCCTGGGAGTGACAGGGCGACCTGAGCGCAGGGAAAGGGTCCGGGGAAGAGAGGATGTAGTCAATGCTGAATTTGATGTCTCTGTGTGTGGCAGGGCTGACCCGGGCCTCCCGGTCTGGAACTCGCGCGCTATCAGAGCCCGTTGACCCACGCACTGCTGGCTCGAGGGGACCCGGGGGCCCCTCGCGCTTGGGGCCGCGTCTCCTCCGCCGCCGCCGGAAGTTGCCATTCTCGAAAAGGTCCAAGAGGGACTCGCAGCCGCCCGCGAACGTCCAGTAGTTGCCTTTACCCTTATCGTGGCCCTCGGTCCGTGGCACCTGAGGGAGTATGGGGCTCAGCGAGTGTCCCCAAGCCTGGGCAGCACGCGTCTCTGGCAAGTGCATTGCGGGCCCCCGTGGGGATCTGCTAACAAGGAACTTGCCTCTGTGTGGGCGGTGACACCCCTCCCCCTTCCCCGTCACCAAAGATGACTGGGGACACCCGGGGGTCCAGTGCGAGTGGCGGGAGGGGGAGGGGCTCACCTTGACGAAGCAGCTGTTGAGCGACAGGTTGTGGCGGATGGAGTTCTGCCAGGCGCGCTGGTTGGCGCGGTAGTAGGGGAACTTGCGCATGATGAAGTCGTAGATGCCGGACAGGGTCACACGGCCCGCGGGGCTCTGCTGAATGGCCATGGCAATCAGCGCGATGTAGCTGCGACAGGGGTGCCAGACAGAGGGGCTGCATCAGGCGGGGTGGCGCGCTGAAACCGCAGAAGCGCTGGTGAACTCAGACCTGCCCTGGGACTGGCCGGAACCTTTGAGACTAGATGGACACTCCCCACGCCCCCATGTACTGCAGCTCCAAGGACCTGCCAGCGCTCAGCAGTCAGGCTGAAGCCTCTACGGAATTTCTGAAGCCCTCCAAGATCCTTTGGAGCTTCCCGGTCCTTCTGAAGCCCCCAAGACCCTCTTGAACCCCTGAGACCCTCTGAACACCGAGACTCTCTGGAACCCCTGAATCCCTCTGGAATCTCTAATACCTTCTAGACTTTGCAGGACCCGTTAAAGCTGGCAGGGGCCTACTGAATGAAACACTTTCAGCCCCCCAGGACTCCAGTGGAGTGTTGGGGTGCAGAAGAAGCTGTCGTTTGATAATCTCCTCGCTCTTTCCCACTTCTACCGAGACCCCACTAGCCTGCTCAGATCTTGGTGGACCCCCCACTGGCTGTCTCCAGCGTGCTCTGGAACGTGCCCTTCTTCCTCAAAGACCGGCGTAAGGAAGAAATCCCACCTCCCCTAGTCTGGGTCAGGTGCGGATGACCCAGACCTCTACCGCTCTTGTGGGCCCTGTCACTTGCCCTGTGGTCACCTGTACGCTGGCCTTGTAAGCCGTTTTTCCTCGTCGGAGCTGCCGGCAGGGTAGTCGTCGGTGTCGTCATTGAAGCAGTTATAGGGGTACTGCGAGCTGTCAAACATCGTGGCCACCCTGTGCTGGTCCACCCTGGCACTGCCGCCGCCTCTTCCTCCGCGCTGGCCGCCTGTCGTGGGCCAGGCACTAGTTTCCTTTGACTGGGCCAACAGCATCTGCATGCAGGACGCGGGGAGCCTGGGCTTCTGGGGTCCCCGCCCGCTCCGCCTGGTTCTCTGGCGTCCAATCCCAGTGCGGGGGTTGTCCCCAGCCACCACAGAGTGGGGAGCGCAGCGGGGGGCGTCGCCACCTTCTGACCCGCTAGCAAGGAAGGTCCGGAGGGTGATCTGGCCCCAAAGGCAGGGCGACCCTTCTCTGTTCTCCCCTGAGGCCAACCCTGTGCCTGTTGCAGGGCCCACGGAGTCTCCATTGGCAGACTCTGGCCTCATTGCTGCACCCACAGCTAGAGGTGATGTGGTCCAGTCCTAGGGAGCTGAATTGCTCCTCTTTCATAGGACATAGGCTGGCTGCTTTCAGCTCCAGGACACAGAGCCTGGTCCAGGCACCATCTTGGCTTCCTGTTTCCCCATTGCACCAGGTGGATGAGGACTCCAAAGCTCAGGGTTTCTCCCAAAATCCAGGCCTCTCCTCCCGCTGCCCATCCCTGACTAGAAGTAGCCTCCCATGGGTGCTCTGGGTAGCCTGGGACCGCAGCGATTCTTCTGAGCCTTTGACTGACTGGCTCTCTGGCCCTGGGAGTGGTAAAGTGCCCGCCTACGCTGGGGCATCTGAGTTAGAGATGGGAAACGGTAGTGAGGTAGGATGTTTTGGGGGGACCCTTGTCATTCCAGGGACTTCTTTCTAATAATTCACAGAAGCCAGACTAGTAGCCATGTCTGTGAACCCAGAGAGATAAGAGGCGAGGGCTAGCCTTGGGAAAATCTCCTCTTCAGGGCATGCCCCTTCAGGGCTACTTCATGGATGGGGCCCAGGGCTACCTCTCTTATTGTAAGGAATGAAGTCCTCTTTGGAGAAGCTTGTGTGTAGCAAGTCAGGTTTCTTTGTGCCACCGTGGCATGGCTACTGTCCCAGTTCAAGCCACCACACTCGGCAACAGGAGTCAAGCATTTTGGGAAGTAAAGTGCATAGTCCCTCTGTGAAACAATCTGGCCATTAAAAATATTAAACATGAAGTCAGTAGTGGTGGCATAGGACTATAATTCTGACCAAGGCAGGAGAACCTTGCGTTTCAGGTCAGCCTGCACTGTAAAGAGAGGAAACAAAACCTCACATAAACACGATTGCCACAGGACCCATATATTCCATAATATGCCTTTACACAAGTCAGACAGAAACCTGAGACCACCCCATGTGCTCGGAGAAGCTTTACTGGAAACGTCTGATTGGATACACACCTCTCAGCAGGTGTGTGGTCAAGTCAACTATGTGGCGTCTATGCTGTAGACGCCTACACAGGCGGTAAAAGCGGAGGGATTCTAGGTGTAAGCAAAAAAGCCAATCTCAGACGTTTACCCTCCTTCTAGTCTGAACTGCAGGACACCCGAGAGACCAGGGAGAGGCAGCAAGGCCTTAGGACTCTATTTCAGTGATGGCACCGCCCCCTTTCCATAGTCACAGGCTCACCCAGAACTGAGCGAAGAGATCAGGATGCTTTCCAAAGGGAGGAGTGGAAGGGTACATTGTGAGGACGGCAGATGGGATGGATAGCGCTGGGAAGCCATCTCTGCTTTTTGAGGGGAGCAGGTGGATAAGATGCAGTCGCCTTTGTAAAAATACAACACCGCCCTAGAGGTTTGCGGGGGGCGGGGTGACAGGAAGGGTGGCAGGGAATGAAGGAAGAGGGGGGATCTTCTGTATAATATGAACCTACAGACCCAGACTGCGAGACACACACGACTTGTCAAAAACTGAATGGCATCAGATGAAGGTGCTGATCTTCCGTCAGACGTGAAACTTGCCCATGTTCTCTCCCACCCTGTGACTGTCACTTGCTTCACAGTGTCCCTTGAGGGCTCTAATATCTTTGATTTTGACAAAGCCCTATTGGCTTATTTTTTTCCTTGCTTTGCCGGAGCCTTGCCACCGAATGCAAAGCCACGATTTCCTTCAGTATCTTCTGTTGAGAGCTGTACTTACTAAGATGTCAACAGGGGTGGCAGCTGGCCTGTGTCATAGTGTGGTGGACTCCTCTCTGAGGATGTCAGTGGAGAGAAACCAGTGTGACACAAAAGTCCCAGCTTAACTCGTGGTGCCTGGACCCGGCAAATGCAGTAGAAAAGAGATTGTGAGTTTGGGCCGGAGATAGTGGCAGGGTGCGGTTTTTGACAGCACAATGGGACATAGCACTGTGACTATATTAATACTGTTGAGAGGCACACTTAAAGATGGTCAAAATGGAAGATACCACTTGTGTCTTGTGTCAACCAATGCGTTTAAGTGAGGGGCTGAGAGAGTGGCACAAAGCCCTCAGTTCCATCCCCAGTATCTGGTGTGGGAGTGTGTGCAGGTAATCTTAGCATTCAGGAGACAGTTCAAGGTCACCTCACTTACACAGTGAGTTGGAGGCCAGCCTGGGATACATGAGACCTTGTCTCAAAAAAAAAAAAAAGCTTAAAAGGAGTTGGAGAGATGGCTCAGTGGTTAAGAGCACTGACTGCTCTTGCAGAGAACCTGAGTTCAGTTCCCAGTCTCCAAATAGGAGCTCTCAACTACCTGTAACTCCAGCCCTAGGGGATCTGATGCCCTCTTCTGCCATTCCTGGGTACTGCACACATGTGTTACACAGTCATTCATGCAGACAAACACACATACACAGAATGCTTATAGGTATTGGGAATGTTTAAAAAGTTTAACACCTGCTTCAAATGGGAAATTAAGCACGATTAATATATGTCAGTGTGTGTGTGTGTGTGTGTGTGTGTGTGTCTGGGAGAAGGTTGTGTATATCCTCAGAGGCCAGAGGAAGATATCAGATGTCATGATCTGTCATTCTCTACCTTCCTTCCCTTGAGACAGGGAGATTACCACTGGGAAGTATCTCCAGCCTTGTTTTTGTTTGTTTAGTGTATTTTGTTTTGAAGATAAAGTCCCATATAGCCCAGGCTCGCTTTGAACTCATTATGTAGTGGGAAGCCTTGTTTTTCACACCAAGCACTGCATAAGCCAGGGATGGAGATACATACCTGTGTTTCCAGCATTACAGAGGTGGAGGAAGAGGATAAGGAGTTCAGTGTTCATCCTCAGCTATCAATATACAGGAGGTTTGATGCCAGGCTGGGCTGTAAGAAAACAGAACAACAGATGGTACTTGCAAGGTCTTCCAGGCCTTTCCTCAGCCCTTGAGTACCAAAGGCCTAGAAATTGCACAGGCGGAGCCAGGAGCTCACAGTTCTAAGTCCCCAGAACCGGGGTCATATTGCTCCTGGCTTTAGAAGCCACACGACTATGCCTCCAGGTGCTCAGGTTGGAGGCTTATTGTTTTGAGATTTAACCACTAGTGACCCTGACACTTGGCAGTTTTTGTAATCCTCAGCTTCCAGAAGCAGTGAATGGCCGTGGGAGGCGGCGGCCTCACGACTTAGTCATGGTGGCACTAGTGTCACAGCCTTGATGTGCCGGGATCCTCAGCTCTACAGCAGCCAGGGTCCAGCTTTCCGGGCCTAGGTTGGGACCTTTGGCCTCTGGATCTTGGCAGATCCTTGGCTCTCTCTCAACCACTGTGGTTCACAGTTTGTAGTCTCTGGCTATGCCCAATCCTCCATCCTTGAGCTCTCTGCCCTCTTTACTTATGTTCCCTCTCATTATCTTCATTGCCTCTGCTTTCTGGCATTGCTTCCTGTCTGGGACTCTTCATCTGCATCTGTCTCTACCACTGAACCATCATCCCATCATCCCCATCATCACCACCATCATCATCACCACCACCATCATCATCACCATCATCACCATCATCACCACCACCATCATCATCATCATCATCATCACCATCATCACCACCATCACCACCACCACCATCATCATCATCATCAACAGAGTAGTGGTTCTCAACCTTCCTAATACTGTTAACCCCTTAATACATTTCCTCATGTTGTGGTGACCCCCATTCATTCATTTTCATTTATGCCCCCTCCCCCGCAATGCTTAAGCATGCATAGGCAGCCCATTTATGATGGTTCTCGAGTTGTTCCTATCCTGGGCAGTCCTAGATGCTTGTGTTATTGCCACACCTAAGGTTCCACAGTCTTCCTTTATGCTGTCTATCTAGCATTATTTTTTTGGGCGGCTGTTTCCTCTTTGCCTCTATATGGTGGCCCACCAATCATAAATTTATGTCATTGCTACTTCATAACTGCAATTTTCATACTGCTACGAATCATAATATAAATATCTGGCATGCAGCATATCTGAAATCCCACCCTTGTGAAAGGGCTGTTCAACCCCAAAGGGATTGTGACCCACAGGTTGAGAACTGCTGATTTAGGGTAAGCTGTTTAACAGCCACAGCTAGGACAGTGTCTTCTAAAGCCAGAGTAGTGCAGCAAGCATCTGTGGTTGCTGTGCAGCTTCCTCAAAGTATCTGCGGAGTGCTCAAACCAGCTGGGTAACCTTGAGAGGCATCTGGCTGGCTGTTGGCTGACCAGCCTCTTCTCAGTACATCCAGGCCTCGGGATGGGTCTGGGAGCAGTCTACCGAGCTGTCAGATTGCCCCAGAGCCTAGCATTTCAGTTTATTTAAAGGAACGGTGTACCCGAGGCTTCGTTCACATTTGTGAAGATTTGACAGCATGCAGCTACTGTCTCTGGGTTCTTGCGGTTTTTCTCACCCACTCACTCAGGGGAAAACTGGCAAGGGTGTGAAAAAAGGGCACAATGCCCTGGTTCAGAAGGCAGTAGTGGACTAATAATAGTGGCGCCTGATTTCTTGCCTGCCCTGGTTGCAGGCTTATCGAACAGAGTTGTGGGTCACCTGTGCTTTTTACTTCCAGAAAGTGGTGCGTTTTACCAGCACACCGACTTTCAGTAGGTTAATATCCAAAGGCTGAAAAAGCCCAGGATAGTCTGGGCACGTCTTTAATACCATTTTAGCTTCTTTGTCTTCTATATCAGATGGTTTACATTCTGCTTGGCAGTGA